GCGTGCGTGCGTGTGTGTGTGTGTGTGTGTGTGTGTGTGTGTGTGTGTGGCGGGGTGGGGGAACAGGCCACAGGCAGGAGGGAAGGAGACTCCTGCTAAGATTTTAACATCGCCTAGATTCCTGTTTCATCTGTTTGTTTGTTTGTTTGTTTGATCGGGTTGGTTTTAGTTTTGAGTCAGGTATCCAGAGTTCAAGTTCTCCCTCTGACATTTCGTAAAGCGTGACCTCACGGAAGTCGCTTCCCTTTTCCACCTCACCTTTTCCATACTTGCTAGTGAGAAGACCGGACACAACACCTAATGGTACCCAGGTTTGGAGACGCCAGTAAAACGAAAACCTTAAAAAAAAATGCCATCAGTAAAGAGGGCCAGCTTTTTATTTTGACAAGTAATGGAAAAGGCCTTTTATCATTACTATCCCTTTGATAAATAAAGATCACTTTAAAACCAACAGCTCTGGAAAGAGTGTAGTCTCCAAAAGCAAACAAAAACGTAAGACCTTCCAGAAAAATAGAAGTCAGCAACCTTCTACCAACCCCTATAAATACGGTAACATTCCCATCTCTTAGTGGCTTGTTGAGAATGTCACCGAGTGTTGACAGTCTTTGGACCAGGAATCGGGAGTGTTTTTTCTGAGTCCTGGGCTCCTTCCAGCTCTAGCACCTGTGAGTCTAGATGCTTCCTGTTCCCTGACGGAGCCCTGCTGCTGGGAAGGAGGCCTGGCCCTCAGGGACCCGGAGTTTGGCTGCTTGGGCTTTTTCCAGTTGGCCCCCCAGGGGAGATCGCCCTCCCTCCATCCCCTCATCATTCCCTCCTCTGCTGCTGCCCGCGGCCCAGCACAGCTCCCTGGGTGTCCTGCTGTGCCAGACACACGTGTGCGAACACAATACATCTTTCCTGTCTCTCCTCCCGGCCCTCACCTCTGCGTCCCCATCCTTGTCACTTAGAATCATAAGGGCTCCCTTCACTCCTCCCTTTCTCCACTCAATCCCTCCGTCTTGTGAATTCTTAGTTCAAGATCAATTTTTCTAAAAATATATATGGCTTTATTATTAATGGGTATTCGGTGACCTAGGATGGGTTTTGTCACGTGGCTTTTATATTTTTATTTTATTTTTTCATTTATTTTAAATTATAGGTGACATACAATATTATATTAGTTTCAGATGGACAACATAGCAATTCAACATTTATATCCTTACAATGTGGTCACCACACTAACTCTAGTAGCTGTCTGTCACCGTACATAGTTATTATGATATTATTGGCTCTATTCCCTGTGGGGTACATTACATCCCCGTGACTTACTTATTTTATAATTGGAAGTTTGCATGTCTTAATCCACCCCCCTTTCCCTTTTTCATCCGTCCCCTTCCCCCCCTCTCCCTCTGGCAACCATCANTTGTTTCTCTTCCATGGCTGCTGTTTAATAAGGAGACCAACTTAGCCTTTCTGTTTTTTTCTGTTCGTTTTAGTTTAATGCATTTGTCCATTTCCCCAATTCTGAACAATATAGAAAGACAAGGAGAAGCCCTCCAGTTGGAGGGAGAAGATGGTTTGTAAGCACTTATCATATCTTCCCTTTAATCTTCACAAAAATCTACATCTTCAAGAGGCCGTGTGGCCCTCCGGAATGCTACTGCGGGAACAGAGATCTGCAGCTCCGTTCCTCCCTCCTGAGTCAGAGACTGGACTGCAGAGGTCGCATCCTATGGACCTGGGATTTCTGCAGGCGATGCCCGCCCCCCTACTGCCCCCTCACCCCCACCCTCCTCAGTCACTGGAGCTTAGCAGAATGTCCCCTTGCTTTGGGAGTGGGAGGTCTCATAAATACTTTTTTGAAGTCTTCTAGGAAGAGGAAAGTTGTGCCTTATCTGCCTCTTACCCCTGCTCCGCCTCTGCACTCAGAGGTGTGTGCACACAGGTGCCTCTGGCTTCCAGCTTAACTTACCTGATGCATTTAGAGGGGACTCGCTGGAGGGTTAGGTGTGTCCTCTAAGAGAATCAGGAGTGGAGCAGGGCCAGGCTAGATGACAACTGTCCTCTCCCTGAGTGACCAGAGAGAAAACCAAAGGTCCAGGTCTCCCATTGGGAGACTTTGGTCTCACCAAAGACAATCCTCAAGTTCTCTGCCCCTGTCTCTAACCCACTTAGATCACAGGCTGCCTTGTGTCTGCACTCAGGGACAGGGGAACCAACCACAACCATCTAGAGGGAAAAGCTTACAGAGGAATGGGAAGCTTAGCTAGCTCCATCCACCTTTTTGTGTTTGACTCCTTCCTCTGACTCAGCCAGAAAGGGGCAGGTGGGGAGCGAACATTCCCGTCAGAAAGACCACGTGAGCTAAGACTTGGCAATGACAAACATCTGCCGGGAACTACAAGCAAGTCCCTGTTGATGGGGCAGCAGCACACACTCGGGAGGGGCGGGATGAATCTGAGAGGGGGTGGGGCCACCATATGAGAATTTAGACTCTACCCTGTCGGTCGGTCGCAGGAATGAGGGGCCCTCCAGGAATTCTATGTAGGAGAATGGCATGGGCTCATTTACATTTAAAGTGTGTCTATGTAAAAATTATTTGGACATAATTTCAGACCTACAGAAAAGTGTCAAGAACAGTGCAAATAATTCTGGGATACCCTTTCATGCAGATTAATGCAGATACCNGAGCAACAGGAGCAGGAAGTGCAGCAGCAGCAACAGGAACAGCATAAGGACCATCAGGACGCAGGAAGCTTGGAGCAGCAGCTGGAGGAGGAGAAAACACAAAGGGAGCAGCCACTAAAGGGACAGCTGCAAGAAGACAAGAAGCTCTTGGACCAGCAGCTGGATAGAGAGCTGACAAAGGGAGGTGAGCAGCTGGAGAATAAGGAGACGCAGCTGCTGGAGCCCCTGGCGCAGCAGGAGGAGAAGCTGGATCCACCTGAATTTGTCCCAGCTCCTGGCCAGGTCCAAGAGACCCACCCAGCGCAGCCACTGAAGGGAGAAGTCTTGCCCCCCGCAGAGCAGCAGCAGCAGAAGCAGGAGGTGCAGTGGCCTCCCAAACATAAGTAACTGCCCCCAGTGTCCCAGAGGCCCTCAGGCCCTCCTACAAAGTGAAGAGAGAGCCAGTGGCCTCGCTTACCTCAGGTGCCCAGCCTGGATGGCCCACTTCATCTGTGAACCTGCCTGACCTTGACCTTCTGCATGACTTTGTGATAGAGCTGGGGGGTGGGGGAAGTTATTGCCCAGCTCCTGATGAGCCCACTTCTAACCTCAGATGCCCAGAGCCTGTGCCTGAGGACAGCTACTGCAGTAACTCTGACTTCATGCCCAGTGTTACGGCTGAATCTGGGAGTGTACAATGATACAGAATAAACGCTAAAGCCCTGGGATCCTGTGCTCTCTCTGTCTTTGCTCCTGTCTCTCACCATACGACCTGTCAGTGAGGCAATGGTTGCAACTGACTCTCTTGGCTAACTCCCAAAGTGGGACAGACATCTCAATCCCTCTTTAAGTCTGCTCCCAAAACCATCCAGTACAGTCCACAGCTTCCAAAAATGAAGTCAGACCAACACCGAACAAAAACAAAACAACTTCATCGTGCACCTGAGAGCAACACTTGCCAGTCACAAGGGGGGCAAGCCATCCTGATTGGGGGGAAAGGGCTCCATCCCAGTCCAGCACTGCCTCTCACACACACCGAGCCCAACGCTAGCCCATGGCCAAGGGGGCAGAGAGGGCCTGGGGGCTCCCTCTGGGTCTGATCCCTTCCTGGGTTTACTCTCTGTAGAATGTCCTCATGGATTCCAAGAATCTCCTGGACTGCCTAATTGGTTAAGGAAGACTTTAGGAAAGCAACAGAAGCAGAATCGGGCAAGGTGGGGAGAGGAAAGACTCCTGGGAGTGGCCTCTGCTGGGGACTGTGACAGTGTCACTAAAGGTAGTAAAGGTTGGGCCAGCTGGAGTCATGGAGGCCAAAATGCTGAACCGGCTGGAGAAATGCAGACCCAAGGTCACTGCAGCCGTTCCCCTCCCTGGCGTGTCTGTAGCCTTTACTGCCATCAATCACTTCAGGATGTGGGCTCTCTCTTTCCTGGGGATCACCTGCCTTCAACCATTTACCCACATCATCTCAGGCAGGTTGTCTCAAGGTCCCCAAAGCTATTTTACCACAGGCATGAGCACATGCCAGGGACATTGCTATTGAGACTTCCGGGCCCCCAAAGCCAGTAGGTCTGAATGGCACTTAGCCTCCCTCCTCCCACCACCTCCAGCAACACTCACTATCTTTCCTCCTTAGGTGTCCTCTCTCCTGGTCACAATGCCACCACCTGGCCGTTCACCTAAGCCAGGGATGTGCTCATCATCCCTCACTCCTCCTCCCTTCGTCCCTACCCCCTACCATGATCAAGTCCCTGCTGTCCCTGCCCACCCCTCCCAATCCTAGACTGAGGTCATTTCTCACCCAAACTATTGCAACGGGCTTCAAGCTGGTTTCCCTCACCCGCTGTCAATGTGCCCTCCAATCCACCCATCTTACCGAGGGTTTCAAAAGCACCCTTTGGGGGCCAGCTGAGTGGCGCAATGGTTAAGAACTGGCTTGAGACGCCAGAGGGCCCCGGTTCGGATCCCACATATGAGGGCCAGTGACACTGCCCTCTACAGCTAAGATGCTGAACAACAGCTCAANTCTAAGTGGGAGCCATCCCTCCGTGTCCTGGAATCTCGAACAGATGTGGAGGAACAGATTCAGGACGGGGTATGGCAGCACTCAGAATCCAGGGCCCAGCCCAGGTGACTCCTTCAGAGCTTCTGAGTTCCTCCGCCCTTTCCACTTATGATAATCGTTTCTCCAGAAACGTTGGAGTCCAGGTGACCTATACATAGGTAAAGAGATGGAGAGATAAGTGCCGTCTACTGTAGCCACCCAGCTTCTTTCGACGGCGCCTAATGGTTTTCTCCAGAGCAGGCAGGACAGAGGGCTGCAGCTCTCATTTATTGTTTAAATAACAATGGCAGAAAAACCAAAGCTGCTTCCCACGGGAACAGGCTGAACATGGCGCAGGGCCTCGCTTAAGTCCAAGTCATAACTGCTGAGTTTAATGAGCTTCCAAGAGAGCCCTTCAGCCCCTCAGTGGTTAAGTTTCCCTTCCAACAATGCTCTCTGCGCACCCCACCCGGCCCACCCCCTTCCGTCTGCCACCCAGGACGTGCCCTCACACCCCCCACACCCAGCACTGCCCTGAATGCACGTTGGGCACCATCCCGGATGCCAAGGTTCTAAGTCAAAAGTCACGAGTGGGTTTGGAAATCCAAGGCAGCCAGGCCTCGTAAAGCGATGGGGAGGAGGGGCCAGGGCCAGACCCGCCATGCCAAACGGGTGGCTGCCAGCCCCGGGGGGTGACTAAAACCTAAAATTTGAGGAAGGACAGGTGGATCCTACTGTGACTAGGGCCTAATTAGGACACCCCAACCCTAGGTCAGCTCGTGACCTCGGGCAGGGATGAGATCTATAAAAGGTGGGCAGTCCTGAAGCATCCCAAACCCTGTGGCAGCTCCTTGCTTCAGCCTTCAGTCGCCGGTGACCTTGGGTAAGTGTGACGCAGTGGCGTCTCCCCTCTCTGCCTTGCTCCACATCGCCGGGAGCTGAGGCCTGGGCTCCGGGTGGTTTGGGCAGCTCTCGCTTCCGTATCATTTGGGACCAACCTACCTTAGTCTGTAAGTCCAGGGAGGGGTATGGGAAGGTGGGCTGAAATGGGGGGGTGTCATTTCACTAGTGTCAGGACACTAAGAGGCCAGAGTCCTGAGGCTCCTGCTGGCGTGCTGTGGGTGCTGAGGAGAAGGGGGCACCAGCTATGGGGCGGAGAGAGCCTCAGAGCTGCCCTTTAAGGGAAAGACAGGAAAGAGGGCAGCCTGCCTCAGGGAGCGGGGAGCGGCAGGGACAAGGCGAAGTGGCACAGTGGCAAGGGCCTGCTCTGGGAGTCAGGGGCCACGGTTTCCACCCACCTGTGCCAGGTGGCTGGAGAACAGTCACTTCCCTCTCTGAGCTGTGCTTTCCTCAATGTCATTAAGAATCGAACCAAGAGGTCCGTTTCATCTCCAGGTCTCCCTTTTCCACAAGATGCTCCTTGGCATCCTTTTACGATTTTCAGAAATGTATTTACTACATCGAAATGGCGCCCATGGTGCGCTAGGCCCTGAGTGTGTACACACACACACACGCGTGTATGTACATTTAGTATGCAGGTATATTTGGAGGCATGTATTTTGATATATTCATTGAATCCTGACAATAACCCGAAGGGAAGTGAGTGCAGAAAGTCAAGGACGTCGCCCAGAGTCACAGCTGGTTAATGTTTTGACCGGGACTCAGTCCCAGGTGCTGCTGTCCCAGACTCCATGGGCTTGGTCACCACAGTATGTGACTTTGGTTCTCTTTCTCCCTGTCTTTCCTTCTTACCCTCCCCACCTCCCTCCCTCTTATGTGTTTCTTTTCTTCCACCCCCTCTCTATTCTCCTCACCTCCCTCCCTCCCTTCCTTCCTTCCTTCCTTCCTTCCTCCCTTCCTCCCTCCCTCCCTCCCTCTCTCCCTCCCTCCCTTCCTCCCTTCATTCCTTCCTTCCTTCCTTCCTTCCTTCTTTCCTTCCTCCCTTTCTTCCTTTCTTCCTTCCTTCCTCCCTCCCTTCCTCCCTTCCTTCCTTCCTCCCTTCCTTCCTTCCTTCTTTCCTTCCTTCCTTCCTTCCTTCCTCCCTTGCTTTTCTATTCCTTTGTCTCGGAAAGAGTTAAAATGGTTTACAAACATTGAGCTACAGTTTATGCCCACACACACACTTACACACACACACATGCACACCTACCTTCGATTAGCAAAGTGACCGGGGGGCAAGGTAAAAACAGAGCAGGACGTGAACGTGGCAGAGCTCACCTGGGCCCAGAGCCCCCCTATGGCTTCAGGGCTCCTCACTTCTGTGTTTTTCTGCTTCCAGTTGCACGTCCCGCCAAAATGCGTCCACAGAAGCCTCAGCAATGCTGCCCCCCACCTCAGCAGTGCTGCCCCCCACCCAAGCAGTGCTGCCCCCCAGCTCAGCAAACCAAGCAGGTTTGCCAGCCTCCACCAGCATGCAAGAAGTGTAAGTAGAAATAAGCCTGGACATGTGACCAGAGGCCAAACTCCCAGGGAAAACAGAGCAGGAAGCCCACACCCTCTCTCAGACGGCCAGCCGTCAGCCGAAGTCACCACTCACCCAGCTTCGGGACACAGTCTCACTGCTTGGAACAAGGCAGTCCCAGGATGGTAGCTCCCTCCATCTCTCCGTCTCACTAATTAGCAGCTGCAGTTTCCACCTCAGACAAGGATCTGCTTCTAAACTGTCTAATCATCTTCCTGACATGTACCTACGTCGCCTGTCGGCTTCATGGCAACTTGGGAGCATGTCTGGACACCCTTTCTGATCACCCTTCATTTCCACGCCTGTTCCCTNAAATATATAGATATATGTACATGTGTGTGTATATATATATATATAAAGCCAGAGTATATCTATATACAGATTGTACATATTATATATGTAGGTATGTTTATGTACATTTGCATGGACATATATATATATACATATTTCTATATATTTGTATCTATATATGTATACATACATATATGTCTATATATCTGTATCTATTTATCTATGTTTTATTTTTTTTCCTGAACATTTTGAGAGCATATTGCATACGTGATATTCCTTTGCCCCTAAATACTTCTGTGTATATTTCCTAAAAATAAGCAATTCTCTTACATTAGCCTTTCAAAACGATCCTGTGGGCTTCTGTCTAGAAGATGGTTTGCAGCTAGAGAGGCTGCAGGCGGGGAACTGGGTGAGGAGATCTCCTCCATGGTCACGGTGAGAGCTGATGAAGGCCAGACCAGGCTGGGGACTTGCTCATGTCTCATACGCCATGTGTGTGTACACCACACAGCTAAGTGAGAGATCGGTGGGACATGGGACGTGGTGTGGTGCAGTTTGAGGTGGTGCCGGATTTCTGGTGGGATCTGCTGGGTCGGTCGGTTTCAGGTGGTGTCGCCGTTCGCTGAAATGGGGCGTAAGCAGCGGGAGGGGTGGGAAGTTTGGTGCTGGGCACACTGAGATCAACGTGCCTTTGAGGCATCTGGATGGAGATATTGAGGGGGCAACTGGTTGCCCCAGGAAGTTGAAGCACCAGGGAGAGGCCTGGGCTGGAAAGACAGGTTTGCAAGCCGTCTCTTTGAAGGGGGTGATGGGGAGCCCAGGGTTGAGATCACCCGTGGAGACCAGGAGCCTGGAGGCAGGTCACTGTGGAGCCCTGACCTTTTAGGGACCTCATTCCCCATCTTGGGGCCATGCAGGCCAAAGTTAACCCTTAGTCCCCTGGGGTATCAAGTCTCCCAGGACATCCCTGTCATGACGGTGAAACCACTGGTTCTCCATGGAAAAGCCAGGTGGCTGAGGTGACTTACTGCTCACAGCTGGGGCTTCCTAAGAGTCAGGAAGGGGACAGCTGGTAGGCATGAATCCTCTCTGATCTGAGAGGCTGGCNGGAAGAGTGCAATGATGGTGCCAACTTGGGCCAGTGAAGCAACGTCCTCCACAACTAGACTGAAGAACAAAACGACAGCAACTTGTCTGTTCCCATCCCCCCAATTCCCCAATAAAAATTTTTTTTTAATCTTAAAAAAAAAAAAACTCCCTTTGGTTTCCTTGTTGCGTTTTATTCACTTCCCTAATCCGCCCATTACAGTAGGCTGGACTTCTTTCTTATGTGCCAGGCATTGCCCGAAGCGGCTTACATTCTTGAACGTTTAATCCTAAAAATTTGAAACGTATTAAAGAACCGTTTAAGCACATGAAACGCACCAGGCAATCCTGACTGATTCTGATTAACCAATCAGCGAAAGCCAACTGTTGGGGAGTGAAGAAGAATTCCCAAACGGCTGCAGTGATTGGGTCTTGGCTTCTGTGATTTGGGAATTTTCCTAGCAGGAAGGAACGAGAGGACCATTCCAGCAAGAAGACTCTACACTGGGTGGCACCCTGCTGTCCAGACCCACCAGCAGGAAGAGCATTCGCCAGGGCCTGTAGGTCTTCCAAGTGTCTGTGGCCTCTTGCTGCCCTCTAGTGTCAGGATGCAGAAGTGCAGGACCGAGAGAGAAAGGCTCCACCCAAGGACGTTCCAAACAGCCAAGCTTGGGTGGTGGTGTCCAGGCTCCATGGGAGACATCTCCAAGAAAGTGGTCATGAATCAGGTAGTTTGTGCCCTGCAGGATTCAGAGTGAGCAGAGGTGTGAGACAATACACAGATGACACTATTAACAATAACCGTCACCATTTATTGGGCATGGGCCATAGGTCACTCATGGTGTGAACGGCTTTACATGCATGATCTCATCTTCCCAGCACAACAACGCGGTGATGCAAGTGCAATTTTCCTCCTTGCCTCAGACACAAGGAGACTGAGGTTAAGAGAGGACAAGGTCACGCAGCTAGTCCCTGAGATTCAAACCCAGATGTCTGAATCCAGGAATTGTGTTCATGCCAAAGCTTTGGGGACTCAGCAGTGGGAAATCTCACAGAGGGCTCGTGGACTCTTCG